GTCTGTAGCCAGCATTACTTCAAATACTTTATCTGTCTTGATGATTCCATTTTTGCGGAGATTGTGGATAAGCTCCGAGTGGCTGGCGCCGCCGGATTTCCAGGCCATCGCTAAGCACACCCGGAGCAGGTACAGAACCACCTTCAGCGCGGCGACGGTGCCCAGCAGCTTTCCCAAGAGTGAGACCACCTCCCACACGGTCACCGCCCCGCTCCCGTCCCCGCTGTTGCCGCCGATATTACTGCCGTCGCCGTCGCTGCCGCCACTGCGCGCTCCCGGCATCCCCCGCGGCACGCATGCGCTCTGTGACGCCGCGCGCCCTCGGGTGCGGCCGGGTGGGGCCGGAGGCGGGGGAGGCCCGTTGCCCTGCGGCGGTTGCGGGTGGCTGCTGCGGCTGCTGGGCGACCCTGGGGAGGTTGTGCTGAGTCAGCACCACCGCCGCCGCATGCCCTTGCTGACTTCGCCCTGCGGCCGGGCCGATGGTCCCCAGAGCTGTGGGTCGCGTTCCTGCCTGTGGCTCCTGTCACCATGTGCGGCGGCGGGCTGGCAGGGCCGATCTGTACCGCGACTGCAGGTGGCTCCGCCGTCGCCGCCGGGTCAGCTGTTGCAAGCGGCCAGTCTGCTCCTATAGCTGTCCAGATTGTTAGACGGTGGGCTTCCTCCGTCCTGTCTCACCCAACCTTGTTGACTCATATTTAGGTCGGTTGGAGTCCAGGCTCCCAAGGAYGGAGCCGAAAAAATAGTCTTAATGGAGCCCAAGGGCAAAGCCCCTCTCATCCTGTACACCAGCCTCTAGCTTAGTGACCAGCACGTCACTGTTTGGTTAAACAGAGACTTTAGGACCCTGATTTGTTCTTCACTCTAAAGCGCAAATACAGAGTGTAAGAATGCCATCACATGGGGGGAGAGTGGGGGAGAATGCGCCTTTAGAACAAAACAAACGTGAAGAGATATAATTGGTTAAAAAAAAAAATACTTCGGTATCCTGTGGTGAATGTGTTGTTCTCCCAATGCAAGTGTGACTTTTCAGCTAATTAAGCCTCACAAATTCCACTCTTAGATTGGGCACCAACTTTTATTGCTATCAGTTCTGCAGGACCATGAGTGAGAAGCTGACAGGGAACATTGCCTGTCGCATCCATATTGCTGAGTCCTAATTATCACTGATACTGACAGAATCCAGCCATCCATTATTCCAGTACACTTTTAAGAAAGAAATGGCTAAGTCCACACATCTATACTACCATGCGGACAGCAACTTCCCAATTCTCTTTTGTATCAGATTTTGTCACATGTGACACTCAACTTGTTCCCAATTAAAAATATATATTATTATTTTATAGAATTCTGTGATCATAAATGAAACTTAGTTGCTGAATAAACCCTCCAGACTTCATCTGGTTTTAGTCACTTGCTCTTCAACACTAAACCTGGTTCACCAGCTCTTCATTACTTGCTTTTAGTTGCATACAGATAACATCTGTGATGGGTGGCCTAAACTGGAAATGGATGAAGTTTGACCCAATCACCTTCCCCCATCTCAACCTATAAATAACTCCAATCCAGGAAGCTTTTCCACCTCCTGGTACTTACCTAAGGAGTAAATCCTCTTTTACAAAACTCATCATGTTGATGATTTGGCATACTGCATGGCAGACAAAATGAACCTGGTTTAGTAATTTGAGTTCTTAATAGGAACTTGATAATGCTTTCCAGAACTGATATAGATGGAATACATTTACATGCAGTGCTTCCATACACTACCAATATCAAAATCAGGGCTGGATGTCGGGGCTCACACCCGTAATCCCAGCAATTCAGGTGGCTGAGGCAGGAGGATCTCAAGTTCAAAGCCAGCCACAGCAATTTAGCAATGCCCTAAGCAACTTGATGAGACTGTGTCTCAAAATTTTAAAAAGGGGGTGGGGATGTGGTTCAGTGGTTAAGTGCTCCTGGGTTCAATCCCTGGTACCAAAATAAATAAATGAATAAATAAAATAAAACCAAGATCTGGGTGTAGTGATGCTTGTCTGTCATTCCAGATGTTGGGAGGCTGAGGCAGTACCTTGTCTCAAAAAAAAAAAAAAAAAAAAAAGGGTAGAGATGTAGTTTGGTGGTAGATGATTCCTAGATTCAATCCCCAGTAATGCAAACAAGTTGGGAGCAGGGTGAAGGTGGGGAAGCAACCAACATGCAGTTATAAGTATATATAAGAAAATTTGAAATATGAATAAGTCTCTGGGCATGGTGGCACAGGCCATCCCAGTGACTCAGGAAGCTGAGGCAAAAGAATTGAAAATTCAAAGCCAACCTCAACAACTTAGCAAGGCCCTAAGCAACTTAGCAAGACTCTATCTTAAAAAAAAAAAAAAAGGCCAGGAATGTAGTTCAGGACTAAAGTGCCTTTAGGTTCAATCCTTAGTGCAAAAAT